ACAACCTGAGGGCCCATGACCCTCCGCACTTGCCTGCTCTGGGATCGCCATGGCGATCCCAGGAGCAGGCCCACCTGGGGGCCACCCGCCTTCCGCATTTGCCTGCTCTGGGATCGCAATGGGGTCCCAGCTAGCAGTGGGGCTTAGGCGGCACACAGGGGTCCCGGCTGGGGGTGGGGCTTAGGTGCACGGGGCTTAGGAGGCACGCGATCGCGCCGCCTAAGCCTGGCCGCCCAGGGCTGCACCCAGCCCGGATGGCGTCTGGCGCTGGCCAGCCCTGCCTGCAGTATGCAAATTAACCGCCATCTTAGATGGCAGTTAATTTGTATATGGCGCTGATTAGCCAATGGGAAGCGTAGCGGAGGTACAGTTAATTACCCTTTTTGTCTTTTATTAGATTAGATATTTGTCAGTCCTTATTTGGGAAAAAGATTAGGGAGATTTTTCTCCTGGATCTGATTTTCAAAGCACATACTAGATTAGAGTTGCTAGAGCAATCGAGGCTAAAGGGTGAGTATAATTTCTAAGGCTATAATTTACGCAGAAGTCCAATTATGTTTACTAGATGGCACCTTTAGTTGGTTTGAAGTAACTCAAGAGGAATCCTGGACTTCTTAGTCAAAATGTACTAGTATAAGCTACTAATAGCCCAGATTGCCACTAATACTCCATTGCCATTCATTAGTTGCCTCTCTTTCCACCTGGTTTCCCATTTACACGAGTGGTCAGTAAAAAAGTAGTTTAAAAGTGCTGGCCTTCGTGTCAAAAGGCCTGGATTCGAGTCTCAGCTCTGCCAGTGACCACCAGTATGATCTGGAGCATATCATTTAATCCCTCAGACTGTTACTGGTATGTGTTGAAAAAGAATATTCCAAGAATATTGTTGAGGATTTAAATGAAAAGATGTGCAAATATCTAGCACATAGTGAGACTGCTCTGTAAATATTTCTTTTAAAAAAACAAAACAGCCCTGGGAACTGCAGAAGATCAAGTTTTATTTTCTTTAAAAAAGTTGAAGAAATCTATAATAAAAAATCAATATTTAAGCCAGAGTAATTTAGGGCAGTGGTTTCAGGGTGTCC